CACAGATTTGGTTAACCTTGGAGAGGATTTAACATTCACATTCTGAGCAACAGTGTTTTGATTGATGGCGGATCTTTGATTCATTTGATTCGCGGCGAGGTGAGGAGATTGGTTATAGGTTTGATACGGACTGCTACGGGATGCTTGTTGATGTGATTGATTCTGTAATTGCTGCTGTTGATGTTGAATTTGTTGTTGCTGCTGTTGTTGGACATTATTATGTTGCTGTTGCAAATGTTGTTGTTGTTGAACTTGTTGATTTGCAGAAACGTTACTTTGTTGAGAGGGATAGGGAGAAATGTAACTCTCATTATGAGCAGTATAAGGTGATCTCAGATTTTGTTGCTGATTTGCAGCGTACGGCTGCTGTTGTCGTCCGTGCTGATTCGTAACATAACTACCCAACCCGTTACTATTACTGTACATTGATCTTTGACTCGGCATTCCCGATATGCTCGACCCAAACACGGCATTTGTATCGGTCGGACGTTTGGATATCGAACTATTCATTGACGGGGAACCCGTGGAATCCGTTATGCTACTAATGGAAGTATTTGGGGAGGTGGTTGAAGTGGCATAACGGCGCACTTGTTGCTGCTGTTGGGATTGGTGACGAGCAACTTGTGTTAGGTGTTGCTGGGTTTGAGCTTGTTGTTGTGGTTGCTGGGAAAAACGATTCATGTAAGTTGGTTGATTGGTATTTGGAGATATGGAAGATTGTGACGGGGTGGCAGAGGAAGTTAAAGAAGAATTGGCCACCATGGGAGGATCCATGATACTACTTTCATCTAAATCACCCGTGGAAGGGTCGACGTCCACCCCAAATTGACCGCTCAAACTTGCAGTATCATTAACATTCATTTGAGTATTCCTTGTGGGGAAACTCAACGTACTCATATTAATTGCTGGCATTGCAAAATTATTCATGTTACTTGTATCCATCCATTGATTTCTACCATTAATCACGGAATTTACATTTGATGAATTTAAAGAATTCGGAGTTGGCAGAGCAAGCATGCTATGTTGTTGCTGAGCTGCGTGGGGTTGAGTTTGCGCCGATGGCGTAGGAGATGTATGAAATTGTGATAATGAGGTCGGCATTGATGGCTGTTGTGTATGTCCTGCAGCTATTTGAACGAAGGAAGGTATAACACGTAAGAATACAGATCAAGATGATCACGTGGAAAGACATCAACAGAAATTAAATAAAAATGAATCAGACGTACCGATTGACGATTGATGACCCTGATAAGTTGCATCGGCGCCCAAACGTAAAGTATTATTATGCGGTTGTATAGCAGCAGATCCTTGCATCCTTCGCTGTGGATTTGTCTGAGTTTGATGCGTTTGCTGAGCCTGTTGAGGTTGAGCCGTAGCATCAAATATACCGGAGTTCGTAGGTTGAAAGCTACCAGTATTACTATTTGCGATATTATTCGGATATAAACTGCTCGCCAAAGAGTTATTCCCTGAAGCACCACTTAGTTCGGATATTCCCCAATTATTACTTTTGGGATTTGGCCAAGAGAAATGAGGTTGGTGTGTGGATAGGTGAGCACCGTGACGAAAGTCGCCACCGCTAATTCTGTTATAACTATTTAGCGTACCGAATTGGGAACTATTATGTGAAGGAAGAGCATTCTGTTGAATCATGGCGGAAGGCGGTTGAGCTTGCTGTGATGCTGGTTGAAAAGCTTGACCATATGGATAAGTATTCCGCTGTGCATTAGGTGACTGATGTGGTGTATTATTATATGGACGATTGTACATTTCGTATATTTTTGTGGTTTTTTATATATATATATATAAAATATTTTATATATATATAATAATACGTAGGAATATTATAGTGGCGTTGTTTTTTAAAAAAGTCGTAAAAAAAAAAAAAGGGTATATATCGTTATGAAGTGCACGGCTTTTCCTTTCCTTCTTTCGCTTTGTTTTTTTTTTGTTGGTTTGATGTTTTTGATATGATAACACTTGATAGGTAAGTACTTTAAGTCTATATTGTGTGGAAAAAATTTTTTTATTATTATTATTATTTTTTAATATTAATAATATTTTTTTTTTTTGTTTCTTTTCCTTTGGAGTACCGTTAATAAAAAAAATTTTTTAAAACTTGAACTATGTGTTGTAGTTTATTTTTTTTAAAAAAAAAAAAAAAAAAAAAAAATACATATATATAAAGTAAATATTTTATTAGTAAAATAAAAAAAAAAACTTGTGACTCACTTTTTTTATTTCACTTATATTTACCGAATAACTAACCAGAACTAAATACGATGCACAGTATTTTTGTTGTTTAGTTCAGTTTTTTTATTATTATTTAAAAAAAAAAAGTGTGGGTGGATTTTTTTTTTAACTTGTACTGTATTTTTATTTAAAAATTTTAATTTTTTTTTTTTTTTTTTTTTTTTTTTTTAGGGAGGAAAAATACAAGTACTGTATTTGAAATTTGGAGAAGGGAAGTTGAAGTGGTGTTATTATATGTGTTTGAGATTGAGGGCAAAAAAAAAAAAAAAAAAAAAAAAAAAAATAAATGCGATACAATAAAAATAAATAAGGGGGTGTGAGTATGTTACTCATTTTAACTAAAGTCATACAAAGGAGGCGTTTTTTTTTTTGTTTTAATGTAAATGATATGTTGTAAAACAATCAAAAAAAAAAAAGAACAAAAAAAAAAAAAAAAGAGTTGACGATCTTCAACACATTACTGATAAAAGATAAAGTAAAATAAATAAATCCACATTACATATATATATATATATTTTTTTTCATAAATTAAAAGAATAACAGCAATGGGGGCTAAGCCGGTTAATACCATGTTGGATGATGCAGGAGAACAACAATAAAAGCCGTTACTTTCCCTTTTCAGTTACCAAAGTATTCTAAAAAAAGCAAAATGAAATTTTTTAATTTTACATTTGACCTACATCTTTCTGTTGTACAACTTAAAAATGGGAATTCACAATCGGACCTTTAAGTCATGTGTCACATGACAATCTAATTATTACTAATTTTTTATTTACCAATGATTACCAAGATGGTATAAGCTGCGCCCTAATTCAATATCAATTACCCCAATAAAATGATAATGAAAAATGTTTCAATTGGATTTTCAAATTGACCTTTTCTCTTTTTAATGAACGATATTGATATTTGATCAGGAAAAGAAAAAAAATGGTTAAAAAAAAGGGATTTAATGTTTTTAAGGTTGCATAATCTGATAAATAAAAAAAAGCGAAATCATTTAAAGATACCCAAATCCTCGGTTTTTAACAAACAAATCAATTATTATGTGAACGTCTTTTTCGATTAAAAAATTTTCAAAATATTAAATGAACGACGGAACTAAAATAACATGTTCTGTGTTTCATTGCGTCAAACAGACCACCAAGTCCACCACAAAAATATACACTTGATGTGAATGTAAAAAGAATAACCCTTTTATGCGGGTGCTGCGGAAAGTTTCAATGTTAACGAAAAAACTCTAGGTTACCCCACATTTTATCTTGTTTTAATAAAACATGTAATATGCGTAATGTGATGAAATGTATGTATTTTTTTTTTTATTGGAGGGTTACATTAAAAGAAAAAATTATTATATAATTTTAATTACCTTTTACACGTGGCTATTGGGAGGGAAATCCATATTCTTTTTCGGTCATTCCCGGTGAAAAGTGTTTCAATGTTTATCTATTCTACATTAATCCTTGAATGATTATTAGTATAATGATAAGCCAATACACTTTTCTTGATCAAACACTTGTTTGGTTGTTATTCATCAACAAACCAACCAACCATTTTCGTTTGTGTAAAAACCAATAATAAATAAATAAATAAATATCATGAATCATTAAAATTTCCTTGTTGCTAACCTTAAACAAAGGTGCATTCTTTAGTATCCCCTTTTTCCTTTCTATACAAATCCTCCCCACGTGATAATTATGCCAATTTCAATTTTTGTAGACCCAGACCCCATTTGAACCTTCACGCACGTGATGTGCGCTTTATCCTGATTTATAACCTAATCCCGAATCTAAGATAAATTTGTCAAAACAATAATTTATTAATACATTCCTTTTCTCTTTCGGGCAATTATTTAAATTAAGATTGTCGGAATGGTTTACTACAAACCTAAATGGACTGAGAAGTTAGAAATATAAATACCGAAAACTCCTCAAAAAAAAAAAAATCATCTCAATATCATGCCTTCTAACGAACTATCAATTACTTTGCCAACTGGGAAGTCTAGCCAAAGTAAATATATTCATCTAATTAAATTTTTTTTTCTCCTTTTCGTGAATATCATCTTTTAACGTGCGAAAATATAAATATACAGTCTACACAGGTCTATTCATAAATAATGAATTCGTCGATGGAATCGATGGAAAACGGTTTGATGTGATTAATCCTTCAACAGGGAAACCAATCACAACCGTTGCAGAAGCGTTTGCAAACGATGTTGATAAGGCAGTTGATGCTGCTACTGAAGCCTTTAATAAAGTTTGGAAAAATGTTCAAGCATCAGAACGTGGTCGCTTGCTTTATAAATTGGCCGATTTGATGGAGCGTGACCTTGAAGAGATCGCTGCTATTGAGTCTCTTGACAATGGTAAAGCTTTTTCCGTCGCTAAAGCTAATGATGTTCCAACTGCCATCGAAGCCTACAGATACTTTGCTGGTTTTGCTGATAAAATTCATGGCAAGGTATTATTAATAAATGCCTTGGTGAAAGATATAAAGTGATTTTCCCTTGTGAATATTTATAAAATCTTCATTTGTTTTTGATACAAGACAATGGACAATGATCCTGATAAATTTAGCTACACGCGTCGCGAACCTTTTGGAGTCTGCGGTGCTATTATTCCATGGAATTTCCCTGTCGCTATGCAATCTTGGAAATTGGCTCCGGCTCTAGCATGTGGAAATACGATCGTATTAAAACCTTCTGAAAATACTCCATTGAGTGCTTTAAAAGTTGCTGCTTTAATTAAAGAAGCTGGATTTCCAAAAGGCGTTGTAAACATCGTGCCGGGATACGGCAAAACGGCTGGTGCCGCTATAGCATCTCACATGAAAATTCATAAAATTGCTTTTACCGGTATGGATACAATCGAATCGATTTTTCTTTTTTTTTTTCCTTTTCATGCGTTAAAATGTATCTACCACGTAATGTTATGTAGGTTCTACCGTGGTCGGTAGACAGATTTTAAAAAGAGCCGCAGATTCCAATTTAAAGAGTGTCACGTTAGAATTGGGAGGAAAGTCTCCAAACATTGTTTTTGAAGATGCTAATCTTGAAGAGGCAGTTAAATGGTCACATATGGGAATTTTTTATAATCATGGTCAATGTTGTGGCGCGGGTTCACGCATTTATGTACAAGATTCCATTTATGATAAATTTTTAGAAAAATTTAAAGTTCTTTCTGAAAATATGAACCTTGGTGATCCTTTTAAAGATCCGCCATCAATCAAAACACTGTTGCTCAGAATGTGAATGTTAAATCCTCTCCAAGGTTAACCAAATCTGTG